GAGGCCAGCCTGGTCTCCAAAGTGAGTTCCAGGAAAGGCGCAAAGCTACACAGAGAAACCCTGTCTCGAAAAACCAAAAAAAAAAAAAAGACTCTTTTTCTCTTTGTTATTATTATTGTTACATATATATAAATGCATAAAAACAACCTGCTGAGTCTTTTTAGTGCTGCTTGAATGTAACGGTATCAGGCCTGACCACTTGGTACTGGATGACCAATCAGATGGCTCATCCCTGGGAAGGCTATTTCTCCTGTTCTCAGCAGGCTGTAGTTTCCTGCAGTTCTTTGTTTAGGGGCAGGACCCCTTGAGATTCCCCCTTCTGTCTTAGCAACCTCTACTGTGGTGGTCTGAAAGAAAATGGCCCCCAAAGGGAGTGGCACCATTAGGAGGTGCAGACTTATAAGAGGAGGTGTGGCCTTGTTGGAGGAAGTGTGTCACTGTGGAGGTGGGCTTTGAGGTCTCATATATGCTCAAGCCACGCCCAATAAGACAGACCACTTCCTGTTACCAGTGAGTAAAGATATAAGAATTCTTGGGGCTAGAGAGATAGCTTAGAGGTTAAGAGCACCAACTGCTCTTTCAGAGGTCCTGAGTTCAATTCCCAGCACCCACATGGTGGCTCACAACCATCTGTAATGAGATCTGGCGTCCTCTTCTGTGTACATAATAAATAAATCTTTAAAAAAAAAAAAAAAAAGAATTCTCAGCACCTTCTCCAACACCATGTCGGCCTGCACAGTGCCAGGCTCCCTGCCATGATGATAATATACTGAACCTCTGAAACTGTAAGCTGCCACCTCAATTAAATGTTTTCCTTGTAAGAGTTGCCATACTCATGGTGTCTCCTCACAGCAATAAAGCCCCTAACTAAGACATATACTGATATATCACCATTCATGTCTTGTTTAGGCAGCCATATTATTGGGGTATCATACGTGTAGCATCTTGATCATTTCTAGGAAACACAATCTCACAGTATATTATCTGGCCCTTTGGCTCTGTCATTATAGGTTTGACAAATATAGAAAAGGAAAAAAAAATGAGATGCTTGATTTCTCTTGAAAATTGAAGCTGCTGACAAAATTGTTACAGCATTCATATACAACAAGTCTACTAGATGTGCGCAGCTGTGGCCCCTCCCATTCCACACAGTCTCGGAACACTGAGTCTAGACGTCACTTATCACATGGCTTCTACTGTTGCTTTTTAATACTTGATGAGTCAGTCATTTAACGCCCACTGACTCCTGTGGGGATGTGCATCTGTGAGTTCTGTCTCCTTCACTGAGCAGTTAAATACTTTCCCCACAGATAACAAAGGGATCCCAATTTCACTGTTGATCAAGTAAATCAGTGGACTAAGTACTCTGATGTTTATATGCAATATAAATAATACAACATAAAATAACGCAGTCAAGCCACGAGGGTGGGAACTCACCTACATTAACGATGGAGCCACCCTGCTTAATCATCGTCCTCATGGCAGCTTTGCAGGTCAGCATGGAGCCCAAGAGGTTAGTGTGAAGCTGAGACACCATATCTTCGGTTCTTGTTCTTACGAAAAGAGCATCTCTACAGGAAAGAAGCAACAGAAACATCAACAAGTATATCAAAGAATCCCAGTGGGGCGGGGGGGGGGAGCTAGGGAACTGGCTCGGAGTTAAGAGTGCCAACCACTCTTTCGGGAGAACCGAGTTCCGTTCCCAGAACCCATGTCAGGAAGCTCACAACCACCTGGAACTCAAGCTCCAAGGTACTCAACATCCACTTCAGGACTCTGCAGGCAACTGCACTCATATGCACATTCTCACACACACACACACACACACACACACACACACACACACACACACGCATATACACACACAAAATTTTAAAGTGGCAAAAGCAAATCTTTTAAAAAATCAAGTCAAAACGCATGTACTATTCTGATTTAAAATACAGTATAAGCTATGCTTTCTAGCTAAGTGCTGGGCCATCCCACTTTGAACTTGACTTTAAGACCACTAAAGTAGCTGCTGATGAGCCAGAGAGAAACCACGTGGTGGCAGGATCCTCTGCCTCTCTACTGGAGTGGCAGATGCTGCCAGTGGCTAAACACAGGATCAAGCAACCAAATGGCCTAAGCGACTGCCAGTTTTGCCTTGTTTAATGAGACTGTGAATCTAAATACTGTTCCCTAAACTCCGCTTAAAAAAAAAAAATGGCAGCCCTCTACCCTATTATTATTACATTTATCATTTTATATACTACATTAGGGGTAAGCTCATGATGACCAATGGAACTCAGAACACTGGTTTCCTATGAGAAAAGATTAAGTGGTCTTCTGGCATGCTGGGCCATGTGCTGGTGATGGTATGTTAGGACGGATCCAACCGGACATTTATCTCAACATAGAAGAATAAGGCTCAGTGATTGAGAGCACATACTTATCTTACAGAGGACCCGAGGCCAGTTCCCAGCACCCATATCAAGTAGCTCACAACGGCCTGTGTCTCCAGCTCCATGGCTCTTTCAGTCTCTGTGGGAACCTACACACGTGTACATACTAACATACAGACACACATGCATGCACCTAATCTTTTTAATAAAAGAATGTACGGATTGACAATTTTCAAAGCATGTCTTTTCAACTAGAAGTAAAAACAGCCTAACACATTACCCCATACTAATTATGGTGGTTTGTATGAGAATGGTCCCCATAGGCTCATAGATTTGAATGCTTGGTCCCCACTTTGGGACCAAGTTTGGGAAGGATTAGGGAGTGCGGCCTTGTTGGAGGAGGCATGTCACTGGGGGTGGGCGTTGAGGTTTCCAGACTGGCCTGTTCCCATTGTGCCCAGCTCTGCCTCCTACATGCAGATCACGATGAGTCTGCGGCTGTTGCTGCTACCCTGACTTTACTCCAGCTACATGACTCCAGGACTCCGAAACCATTCCTCAGTTCAACATTTATTTTATACATTGCCTCGGTCATGGTATTTCATCACGGCAATGGAAAAATAAGACATGGACCGATTAAGAAAAATCTCTTTTGAAAAGATATAAGAAATTTACCTTCATCTTTGACCAACCTGTTAATACCAGCTGCATTTACCAAGAAATTTACTGGACCTAAATGCTTCTCCATCTCTTCAAATGTATTCTGAACATCCTGTTCTTTAGCGACATCACAGCTAAATGCCAAATGGTTTCCTACAAGACAAAGTGAAATCAGAATTGCCTACAAATCTGAACTGGAATTTTGATTGTATCTACTATATGATTAGCCTATAAGGCAACCCAGTGTTGAGCCCAGAGATGACCGCATGTCGTGGGTTCCTGTCCTCATGGACCATCTAATGAAAGGGACAGAGTGGGCAGGAGTGAAGAAGAAATAGAGAGGTTTGTTTCTTCCTTCTTGTTGTGTTTGTTTTTGCTCTGAGACAAGGTCTTACTGTGCTGCCAAGGCTAGCCTCAAAACTCAGCCTGAGATTACAGTGGGCACATGAAATACGATATCACAGAAAACTAACTTGAACTTTGGCGTTTTCTGGCTGGGCGTAGTGGTACCAGGCTATCCACCATGCCAGGGCTTGCTGGATTCACAAGTTGAAGGCTATCCTGGGTAGGTGAGACCTCAGATCCTTAGGAAGAAATAAGCTTAGAACGTTTAAAAACACAAACAGTCGGGGCCAGCAAGATGGTTCATCGGGTGAGGGTACTTTCCACTAAGCCTGATGATCTGGATTAAACCCTTCAGATTCACATGGTGGGAGGAGAGAGCAGGCTGTCCCCTGACTTCTACATGTGCACGATGGCACATACGTACCCACCCACCTAAGTTGAAAAGAAAAATTCACTTTTAAAACCTGCAATAAAATCTGGGCATGGTAACCAGCACATGCCTGCATTCCCAGCACTGAGACAGGAAACTGGGGCTGTAAGCTTGTGTGGCCAGCATGGGCAGAGGAGGTGGCTCAGAAGGGCTCTGAGTTTGGTCTCTATCACCACACACAAGCCATTATACTTCAAAGGAAAGGAATGCTCTATTTAACAAGCTCCCATGTTCATTCCCATGCCCTTCACTTATAATAGGGATACGCCTCACTGTGTAGCCAAGTTGAAACAACGGTACGTGGGAGAGCCACAGGAACAGGTGTTAGCACCACAGAGCACCGTGGAGTGTCAGTTGTCTGGCCAACTGAAGGCAGGGCTGACTCGGGGCTGGAGCTTGTGCTCACACCCGGGATGTACAGATCCCACACGGTGTTCCCCTGTGTTCCCAGCACTGAGGAGGCAGAGGATGGATCTGGATCCAAGGGGAGCTTAGGCTGCACAGTGAGGCCCAGTGTCAAAGAAAGTAGGCTGGGAGTAGACATCGCAGGCAGGTTCAAAGCGTGCTTTGTCCTAAAGATGTCACTGGCACAGCACAGGAAGGTAGTCTCAGCAGCGGGGCCATTGAGGCACAAGAATCACGAGTTCAAAGCCAGTCTGAGTTACATATCAAGATTGCTTCCATATAAGTAAATAAATAGGGCAGACACGCGACACAACCTCAGATCTCTAAGACCCAATGCTTTTCCGACAGTGACATGTATTTTTTTCTCCATTCTAGTAACCACACTGCCTTCCGTGTTGTCTTCTCACAATCATCGAGACTTAAACTTGCAATTCAATGACTAATCCGTTATTAATAATCGGGGGTGGGGGTTGGGGAGGGCTGGAATTGGAATGCAATTTAAAGGATCTGGCGAAACAAATTAGTAACTTATTAAAAGTGTTTGATCAGCTTGGGGGAAGCAGCCCTGACCTAGCAACTGGCTTGCTACTTAAAGAGTTTCCCTTTGACATACTGTTGTGTGCCTTCGCGTGGGGCAAGGAGAGCCCACAGCCAAATACAAGCTAGCCGTTTCTACCCGGCAGCCTGACCTTCCTGACTTCACTCCTTTCGGTCAGATCGCGTCCGGTTCGCTCCTACCGGAGGCCGGAGCAAGGACGGCTCTCGATGTCAGTCCTGGCCGTGGGGTGACAGCCCCACTGAGGACTTGGTCCTGGGTCGCGAGCGATCTGGTCCACAGACTGATCTACAGGGCCAGGGACCCGGGGGCTGGTGGACTCAGGCTCGATGGCTGGCACCATCTCCCGGTACCTACCGCCGAGCTCGCCGGCGGTGGCTCTGGCCACGTCCAGGTTTCTGGCGACGATCGCCAGACGATAGCCCTTCTGTGCCATGAGCTGAGCTACAGCCCTGCCGATCCCCCGGGAGCCTCCAAACACCGCACAGACTTTGTCCATCTTGGACCCCCCCAGGACGGGCCAGAAAGATCCCTGGGAGTCAGGACGCCTAATAAAAGGAACAGCTGTAAGGGGGAGCAAAAAAACGAGTAAGCACTACCCTTCGAACAGCCGACCCCGGGCCACCAAACCGGGCGCGAAGAGTTAGACGTCGGCGCGCACGGGCTCGTCGGTGTTGCATTGCATGCTGGGACTTGAAGTCCTCGCGGTGAGGCCTCCGCCCGCCCGCCCGCGCCTGTGAGTGAGCATTGCAGGACCATTGCTGCTGGCTGCCTCTTCCCACGCTTTGCATAGCCGGTTGGCACTACGGTTCAGGGGACCAAAGGTCATTTGCTAAGAGATAATAGAGTTGCCAAAACCGTGGACTTTCCAGACCGTAATTAGCAGCTACATTATGTCCTTTTGGGTGTGGACCTGTCCTGCCTTACCTAAGTTTTTTACTGTAGCCAAAACCTGTTGGAGAAATATGAGGTCTCCCCTCCTCCCCCCAAGTTACCGCAGACATTAGCCTTGTACTGCAACATTATTATGAGGGTGGATATCCTGTGGGAAAACACTAGCCGGACGTGGAGGCATAGGCCTGTACTTCCCGAACTCAGAAGGTTGAGGCAGAGGGATCACTGAGAGTCTAAGGCCAACCTGATCTACAAAGTGAGATCCTGTCTCAAAGAAAACAGCAAAGAAAGAACACTGTGTAGAGGGTCAATAAATGTATATGGGGTGGTGGTGGCGCTCGCCTTTAATCCCAGCACTCAGGAGGCAGAGCCAGGCGGATCTCTGTGAGTTGGAGGCCAGCCTGGTCTACAGACTGAGATCCAGGACAGGTACCAAAACTACACGGAGAAACCGTGAAAACCAAAAAACATACATACATACATACATACATACATACATACATACATACATACATACATACATTCGCTCCTCTTTTTGAGACATAGACCTGATATGTTACCTAGGCTGGGCTAGCACTCACTGCATAGCCCAGGCTGGCCTCAAACTCTCAATGAGCCTCCTCCCTCAGCCTCCAGAGTGCCGGGAGTACAGGCATGGGCCACCACACCCCTTAAATGAATGATCTAAATAGTCTGAAGATTAAAGAGCAAGCTTAGATCATTATTGACAATATTGGGTTCCTGTACTCCTAAATAAAATAATAATATAATAAAAAAAGCAGCTGGGTAGGGGTGGTGCACACCTTTGATCCCAGCACTCCAGTGGTAGAGGCAGGTGGATCTCTGTGAGTTTGAGGCCAATCCAGTCTATAAATCGAGTTCCAGGACAGCCAGAGCTACACAGAGAAAGCCTGTCTCAAAACAAAAACAAAAAAATGCAGCTGGGCATGATGTAGCACGCCTTTAATCCCAACACTAGGGAGGCAGAGGCAAGTGAATCTCTGAGTTCAAGGCCAACTTTATACACAGAGGGAGCTCCAGGACAGTTGGAGCTACACAGGGAAACCCTATCTCAATCCCCCCATCCCCCCAAAATAAATAAGTAATAATAAGTCAACATTTGTTACCATTCTAGTGTAAAAGGAAACATTTCTTGACAGAGTATTAGTAAACTAGATTCAGAAAATATAAGCCATGGTTAAAAAAGAAAAGAAAAAATACACAACCTGGGGCAACAGGACTAATTCACATAAAACACTAGTGAGTTGAATTATTTAGTAGAGTTGTATTAACACACCAGAAATCAAAGAAAGAGGTCAGTGGGGAATGAAGCTGAAAGGAAAGCTGAATCTGTGCACTGACCTGAAAACGGAGAGGAAAGTTACTTTATGAAGGTTGCGCATTAATTTTAAAATTTTTCATTTTTCTTTCACCTAAATCCAAACAGGATTTGAAATGCCTAAAGAATACATGAATTGTTTTTCAAGTGTTCTTTTTATTTTATTGTAGTTTTTTGTTGTTGTTTTTGTTTTGTTTCGTTTTTCGAGAAAGTGTTTCTCTGTGTAGCTTATCACCTTTCCTGGAACTCTGTGGCCCAAGGCTGTCCTTGAACTCAGAGATCCCCCTAGCTCCCAAATGCTGGGATTACAGACGTGTGCCACCACCACCCGGCTTTTGTGTTCTTATTAAGATAGGGTTTTGTCTCGTAGTCCAGTCTGGCTTCAAACTGATGGTAGTCTTCCCTGAGCCTGGTAAGTCCTGGAGTTACAAGGTATGCCCCAACTCTCCAGGCCAATATATAATTAATATATTGGATATAATATGGGTTAATCTCATGCAAGTCTTGTGCAGGCAACCACAGCTACTGTGAATGCAGCAGTCCTGTAAGGTCCAGGGGAAGCTGTTTTGCCTTGTCTTCCTGGAACTCTGGCCTTTCTTCCTCCTCCTCTGCAGCTTTAGGGAGAGAAGGTGTGATATCCGTGTCCCATACACTTTTTCTCTGTGTTTCCCACCAGTTGCAATACTCTGTATTAATTGTCATCTACTGAATAAAGAAGCTTTTCTGGTAAGATCTAAGAACTACACTAATCTATCAGTATAAGGATATGCACTTAGAAGTCATTTTGATGCTATGTCCATGTAGCAAAATAAAAGTAATATGTTCAGGTCTAGAATCTATGGGCTTCCTAGTGTTAGGGTCCTGGAGAAGTCCCCAAAAAAGATCACCATCCATGTATGCAATCAGTAAGAACGTTTATTATTCCAGCATGCTGGGCCTGCCATCCCACACACAGGCAAGATGGTGAAGACCGCAGAGAGGTGTGTGGGCTCCTTTTAAGCATAGCCAAGGGGAGGTCTTAAGGCAGTTAGATCACTTTAGGTATGATTGGCTCAAGCAAGTAGCAATCATATTAGTACATTTTAATTGGCCAGGGCTAGTCAGGGGCTAGTCAGGGCTACAGTTTTCCATTTTTGGGAAGGTCTAGACAAGTCCTAGGCTTTGTCCTTGAGCTGTTGGAGTGTGTGTGGCTGGGAGGGGGGGGACGGGACTGGCCTAGTACATGCAGTTCTTCTCGTCCCTGTTGACAGGGGTGTTGGAGATTGATTGTCCTTTGTTCGTGGCTCTTCCTCAAAAACTGCCTGCTCAGTTCCAAAAACCCTGGGACCGAGGCCTAGTTCCTAACTGAATTAATAGGACAGACTGTCATCTTTGCCTGACCCTCTCACCTAGCCACAAGTTCTTGGCCATATTGACAGTAGCAGCTATGGGTTTTCCCCAGTGGAGGAGGCCTCAAATCCTATGAGAAAGATGTTGGTTACCCTATGACATTGATGCCACTATTGAACCCATGGACATGTTCTTATTACAGCTTTCCAGGTTCATATCAAGACCACGGGTGAGTTTACTCTTCAATCAGCCTACACAGTGCCATTTCATACTCTGAAAGCTAACCCACAGAGAAAAAGCTTCCTGGCCAATACCAGCTTGGTTTCTACAAGTCCTACGGCCAAAGTGTGTGCTGTCTTCAGCAGGAGGGTCTTACTGTTACCTTCTGATGGGTAGCCAACAGGAATAGTAACAGTCTGTATTATCTTGAGGGTCTCTGGACTCCCCTTGACCAGCACCTTTAGGGGAGATATCGCACGCCCAGCACTGGTTTTTACTTGTTAGCCTACGGCTTCTGGCAGAGTACTATCCCTCTATGTAGGATATGGAGTTAACTATTTTAAAAAGCAAAAATGGTAAAGACTTGGTGATAAAAGTCTATAATCTCCATAGTCCTTGGAGAGCTGAGGCATGAGGTTTGAAAGTCCAGGGTCTACCCTGATTACAGAATGAGTTCAAGAATAACTTGGGCAATTTAGTAAAACGTGGATTGGACAAAAATTAAAAGATGAAAGGTGGGTGGAAGGTCATCAAGTTATCTCAGAGGGTAAAGGCACTTGCTATGTAAGTCTAATAACCTGACTTCCATCCTGGAACCCATGCAAAGATTGATGGCGAGAACCAACTCCACAAGGTTGTCCTCTGACCCCCAAAAGTACACCAAAGGCACCCCTAGACATACACATCATGTATACAATAAATAAACATTTTTTAAGATGGAGGTGCAAATCAGTAGAAGCACTAACGTATCGTGTGCAAGTGCCTTGATCAATCTCTAGTATCATAACAAGATCAGTAAGAATATTAACCAGCCTCAACTGCCCCTTCTTCCCAAAGGTCAGGACCATAAAGTAAGGTCATAAGAAAACCTGATGCAAATTAAAGTCATGATATAAAAATATTTTTAGTGCTGAAGATATGGTTGAGTGGAAGACCAGCACTGAAGAAAATAACCAATTCTAGTCAGCACTAAAGAGATACATATATTACTCTGAGTTTCCTAGTAGCCACAAAACAATGGAAATATAATTACATGGAGTAATTTCTCTCTCTCTCTCTCTCTCTCTCTCTCTCTCTCTCTCTCTCTCTCTCTCTGTGTGTGTGTGTGTGTGTGTGTGTGTGTGTGTGTGTGTGT